TATCTAGTACTATATAGATATCCATGAAATAAAACTGAACAAACTGTGTTATGCACTATGCAGAAGACATATATAATAATACTATTATATGTCCCTTATCGGAAAATTTGATGCGTGGCATCAATAAAAAAGTCCAAAAGATCGCTTGGGAAGTAAACTACATTCGTTCCTAAAGTTTTAATGGGTATACCGCTACATTGCAGTGGCGGATCCAGGGCTTAATTTTTTTGGGGGGCATAGGGGGGGAAGTTCAAAAGGTACAAAAATTGGCTATACACAATGCAAAACATAGGGAAAATATGGCGGATCCAGTGCGGATCCATTCCCCCAATGCTCCTCCCACTGGATCAGCCACTGCTACATAGAACTATTTAAAGAATCGGCCTTCTTAGAGCTCTTGACTGACGATTCCCAAATTAAATGTCGTCAAATTACGATTCTAAATGTCTTAAAGGTGTTGGTACCGATCATTTATTAAGGAGTAACATTTAGGCAATTCAATTCACATGTTGTATCGGTCTCGTGCGGAACGTGCATGTGTGTGAGTATGTAAATCGATATTAGTGTGAGTGAGCTACAATTACACTCACAGATAAAGATACTTACGCACGCGCATGTACAATTCAGTGATTGACTTCGATGACTATTATCGAAGCACTGTTTTGATAAACTTAAATTCTTCTACAGGAAAAACCATCACGCCTCGTTTATGTGTCGGATAATGGTCATTTTTGGATTCTGAGTGAAACGATGAATGTATTGATTTTACAATGATGTGTGTTTTTTTATTTTTATTTTTATTTTTTTTTTTTTTTTGTGTCTGTGTACACGATAAGTAGTCGAAATAATGCTTCGATTTTCAACTTCAGTATCTTGTTCGATTGGAAAGTGAATATCGTTGGTGCATTGGGGAGGTTTTCAAAAGCGCGGGAAAAACAAAAGAAAAATTAAGGAAAAACGGGAATTTTTACGCAAAATCTGTTTTCGAGAAAATCGATTTTGGTTTTTGGTGTAACTTTAAAACAAATGACAAACAAATGAAATTTTCGGTGGTTGTTTATATTTGCATTTTCTATACACGATAACATTTTCAAAATATTTTGAACTATTTAGGGACATTTTCAGTTTCCAATTTTATTAGTTTTATTTTTTATGAATATCAATAAAAATTTATTTGTTGAGTAAAAATACTTGAAAATTTAATACAAGGCTCCTACTTTATTGTTTCAAAGACAGATGAAAAATATTAAAAATCGTTAGTCACAGTTTTTTTTTTAAGCATTTAAAGTTCAAAAAATGACAAAATATGGAAAAATCACGAAAATTTGCAAATTATTTCGAGTTAGATATTCATAAAAATTTTTCTTTTTAAATCTAAGATATTAAATGTAATACAAGATTCCTTATAAGATTTCCTACATTTATCAAAAAATAAAATTCTATGAGAAAGTCAAATTAAATTTTTATGAGCGTTTGAAATTCAAATTTTTACAACATTGGATTTCACTCGATTTCTCATGTGGCGATTTCCTTATTTTGTTGTAATTCAAAAACGAATTACTGTAGATACATGAAAATTTCACTGAATGTTTATATTAGCATTTCCTATACACCATACAATTTTGAAAATATTTTGACTCTTTTTGAGCCGTTTACGGACATTTTCAGTTTTCAATTTTTTTAGTTTTTTTTTTTCTATAAATATCAATAAAGTTTTACTTTTATCTGTTGGGCCAAAAAGTGTAAAAAATTAATACAAGGCTCCTGATATATTGTTACAATAGCAATTGAAAAATATTAAAAATACATAGGCACAATTTTTTTTTATAAGCATCAAAGAACTATTTTAGTTATTTCGTTGTGATTGTATAATATTATTCGTGGGTACTTGAAACTTCTAAAGTACACTATATTATATATCTATGATAGTATCAGGGTTTGTTATTGATGTATAACGTGTTATAAGTACCTAATGGATATTGTGATATGATTAATTTGGAATTTATTATAGGTCAATTTTTTTTTTAATACCATAGATATGTATATAATATGTCTTATACCTAGACTGACATACCGTCTTCGCTCAGAATCGTTTTTCTTATACAATGATATTGTATCATTGAATTCAAATTTAATAGCATCCATTATACAGTGACCCACTTATAACCTACTGTACAGCAGAGCGACATCCACTTACCCACCTTTTTTTTATCTGAAAGATGAGAAGTTTTTGCAGGTCGGATCAAAGCTCGAATTTTTATTTTACTTTAAATAATGGTAAAAATATACCTTTGAAAAAGAACAAATATTGTGCATTATTCAAATGCATATTATTCGACCCCCTTAACGTTTTTTAAGGTTTCATATCATTTTATATTTTGTTGACTCTTTATAAAATTAAATAAAATATATAGGTACCTACTAGTTTTTGATAAGTATTCTTATATTAGTAAAGCTTATATTATAATTGAATTGTACCTATATTTATTAGATTCGTCCCTGAATAATTTGAGACAAATTACTACTACAACTGTTGGCAACAATGAAGTGGATGATTTAGTATTTGTATTAGAGGAAACTATTAGTCCAAATATGTTTGATGATAGTGAGCTCTTCAACCAAACATCACTCAATGTAAGTTTATATTAATTATTTTACTATCGGTAAAAATCAGATTAGTTAGATAAATTTTATTTGTTTTATTTTTTCAGAGTTTGTCCATTTGATATAATCTTTAGGATACACGGTAACAAAACTGCGAGACGTACAGTTGATTCATGGTTAAGGAAAAAAACTCTTATCAAAAGAGTAATTATATTATTTTTGAATTATTTGTATACAATTTATATTGTATTGAGTTTAATTTTTTTTACTAGGTACTCTTTTCAAAAAAAAATAGGAAAACCTACTACGCGAGGTTATGGGGTTAAAATCTCATATTCTAATTTATAATTAGATTTATACTAAATGGGTTAAATTAGAGTATGTGAATAAAGAAAATTATATTTTTCCATCGTGCGATTCAACCATAAGAGAAATAAAGGAAATTCTAGAGGCCACGGGGGCCAAAAACCCGTGGGACGGACTGGGGGGGACTTAACTGCATATAATTAATTTAAATCATTTTTTTTTCTTTTAGTTCCCAGTGATTCACCAAATAAAGACTTAAAGGGACATTATAAAGTGCAAATCAGATGCTGAGATTGATGAGAATACCCCTGCAGGTATGCACACAAAATCACGTACATTTGATTCTGTTAAATTTAATTATACTCCTTTAATATTTCTCAGAAAAATGTATCCCTTTCAGCAATATTCATGTACTATATGTCTAAAAATATTTAAATATTGTTCATGAAACACCTTGAAACACACGATACTAAAAAAGTAGATTGCCACATTTGTTACAAGTTACTATCATTGTCAGAGTTAGCAAAAAGGCACATGCAGTTACATAAAAAGAAAAGAAAAAATATATACAAATGTTCTCAAATATTATCAGGTAAGTGATTTAGTTTACCATTTAAAAACTAAACACGATCAAGTTGAAAAGGTAAAACGCACTAGTTGTAAAAAATCTTACAAAACAGAAAATTAATGAAAGCACATTTTAATAACGTCCATGTGCAAATCAAAAAAATCAAATGTCAACAATGTGGAAACGGATTTGGTACATCCATAGCTTTATTCCGACACAAATAAAAGGTAATTTATTACTGAATAATTAAATATAATAATTTTTTTTTACTAATTTTTCTCAATACTTACATCAAATTATTGCCTGAAAGACATATTTTTGTACCAAAAAACGCACTGACTCCGACCCCCTTAATCAAAGATAGGAAGTAACCACACCGTATTATCTACATCGTTATCCATAAATTGACGTAAATTATACCAACCAATGATTAGCGTGGAATAAAGGTAATTTTATCTCGAAAAATATACGAACATGTATACAGTATACATATCGTCAACGCAAAATAACCCTATTTCACCGTATAATATTATTACCTATTATAATATACTATTATTAAATAACTAATATTATTATAGTTACCCTTATTATAAACGTAGATTATACTTGCTATGTTTACTGTTTTTAAAAATTTCATACAGGTAATATTATTTTTAATTTTAAACTTTGTTATTTCAGTGGACGTGTTAATAAATCTGTTTTTAAATGCTAGTTTACGGTCAAACTAACTAGGTATCAGCTTTCAGAAGTAGAGTTAATATCCATTTTCATAAGTCAATGTATTTTCGTATATTGTAGACAGTCGGTAATATTATTTGTAATAAATATTAAGTACCTAGTATATATAGGAATATATTTTTATCCATTAATAATTAAAATAGGCTTGGCCAGCGATGCAATATGGGCTGAGGTGACACTAAAATAATAACATTCAACACTGGTGCATGGGCAGGTAGCTTAGGTAAGCTGTTGTCGTGAAACTCGGAAAAAGCGTAGCCTTAGCTCGTAATACGAGTGAGAGACGACTTTGTACAAGGGCTAAGTTTTTATATGATAATTATTTTAACTATTAATAGAAGTGTTTCAGACCAAAAACTGAGTTTAAATTTTATTGTAATCGTTTGAAGTTCTTACTTTTTAAACAAAACAGCGCTGGAATGTACGTACTTTGAGTCAAGAAGTTCTGCTCGGTACCTATACTAAATATTGAGTCACTCCACTTTAGAAGGAACGAACGTATAACAGACAAGTGTATCGAACCTTATTAAGGCTAATAGTGCTAATTCAATTAATTTAGGAGAGTTATTAGCTCTAGCTCACAATATACGAGGGTAAAACGATCGTTGATTTTAGGTTTAATGCGTGACACTCAATATACACAAGTGATACGACAGTATAGGTAAGGTAGTAAGGTAGTATTATGTAAGGCATTAATAATACAATTTATTCATACACAAGTGTTATAATATAACATTTACTTTTTTATAAATAACGATTTTGTAACATACAAACGTTTAAAAAATTATTCTACTTTTAAACCTTTTTTAGAAAAATAATCGCTTCTAAAGGAATGAGTCATAAATTCTCCAACCAAAGTTCTTATCCATACTGGTGGCAGTCTCATAAAAAAATGCTGAAAAATACAATACAATAAAAAATTTCACAATTTTAATATTAACAGAATAAAGTATAAATATTAATGAACTTTTTTACATTATAAAAATATACAACAGTAATTTAACTTTTTGATAAAATGTCTTATTAAATATTAATAGGCCTTTTATAGGCCTATTTGATTAAGCCTGTTCCTATAGCCCGAGTAATTCTTGCCCGGTCAAAATATTTTTGTGGCATCTCATTTCTTAGTAAATAAAAACCACAGATATCTATACTAACTAGATAAGGTACTCCTATATAATTTACATTGTTGTCAAGTGAAGTTCATCTGTGGACGGCAGCCATTTTCTCGGGGGGCAAAACATTTCATTCTTTATACAAAATGTATTAAGAATAACTTCATTTTTAATGGTAAAATAAAATAGTAAATGTAAAATAATTTATGTAAAATATTTTTAATTTTTTAAAAACAGGTTTAGAAATAATAAAATACAATTATTGTATAGTATTATACTAGATAAATTATAATTAATCTTATTTACCATATTAAATACCATAAGATTGCTCCCCGACCTTGATTCTTCAATTTATGGTGGGAGTTCGCTATCTAGTACTATATAGATATCCATGAAATAAAACTGAACAAACTGTGTTATGCACTATGCAGAAGACATCAAACTTTTATAACTTCATTATAATTTTCCAGAGTACCTACTACAAAATATAATTAATTATTTATGAAAAACGATCACTAATTTGTTACAACAAAATATTGAGAAATTATCTGTGAATAGACACGTATAATATAATAGTATAGTTAGGTACCAACATACTTATTACATACAATATACACAAGCCCGTGACCATTTTATAAAATTAGAAATTTGTATAGGTAGAAATATAAATAAAAATTTTATTTTAATAAGCTTTTGAAGCATTTTAATAATTAAAATGTAATTAATTACTTTTTGCAAACAAAAAATGCGAGTCTACAGTTTTGAATGACGAAAACAAACTATTGGCTAGCGTGGAAAATATATGCAGTACCTACTTTAAACACTTAACACCACGATAAGAGTCATATATTCGATTAGTGATTAAAGATAATATTATATTATGTAAATCATCTATTGTATATTTTAGTAAAATAAACTTGTCTATACGGCCCTCAGTATAAATATAAATTTAAAATGTTGAAAAGTTGGACAAGGTTGGGCACGTCTGGTACCTATACACCATAAACTTATTAATTCTTGGTCGGATGATATGAGGAAAATAATATTATAGTATCCATATAATTATAATATATAAACCATTGACCAGTATAAAAAAATCTGTCATTTTTATTAACAAATAACCATGAACCTAATTTTTTTTGTAGTTAAGTAGGTACTATAATGCACTTTTGATTTTTAAATTAAGTTTTTTTTTATAATCGATAGATTCGTTGTCCTTAATATATTACTATAAACCATTGACTATTGAGTATATATTGCACAATTTATACTCAACGATATACCCTTGGTCGAATAACAACGAATTTCAACTCAAAATTGATTAACGATACGTCGATACGTCGTCACGTCGATGCTTTACCTGAATACCGTGGGCCCAGTAACCAGTTGAGTGGTTAACCATACCCAGCGTGTTCACGGCATTTGTGGCGTACATCTTTGCATCGGGTACGAATAGAGTCGTCTCTTGTAATCTGTAGCTGAAAGCATTCATTTTTGTGTTGACGAACAACGGGAAAAGATGTTGTACAGTAATATTGTCTTCTTCGTACTCGATGCGAAGTGCTTCTGTAAAGCTTTTTATGTATGACTGAAACAATTAACAAACGAGTGCATAGGTACAAGTTAGTCATGATAACATATAGTCTTAAAATCGGTAAATAAGATTTTTTATATTTCGCGTTGGTCCAATCAATAGATGATAAAGTGAAATCGTCACAATACTGCAAAATGTGATTCAAAATCAATTGGGCTATACCTACTGTTAAAATGTACCTAATATATAGTTTAGATAAATACTAATAATATACCTAGCTGTGCATATTTTGTAAATCTGTTTTTACAGTGAAGCAATTTAAAATTGTAATAATTTCTTATTTATTTTGTTCTTCAGTAAATTTTTTAGAACAATATGAAGATTTTAGGGAAATACCTCACCCCCCCCCCCCCATACGGACTTTTCTCAATTGATTTAAAAATGTGTCAACATTTTGCAATACCATGTGTTATTTATCTAATAAAAAAAAAAATTTTAAATAGCTCCAATCAGTACACCCGTTCTCAACACAATTTGTTTTGTAATCTTTCGTGTCTTAAAACACAATTTATAAAAATTTTAAAGTTTTAAAAACTACGTGACATCCCTTGTAAATGTAAATCGGTCATTATTCTTCACTTCTTTGAGGACTTTTCAATCCAGTATCAACTATTGAGTATTTATCAAGTTACCCTCTAGGACCTAGAGTCTAGGTAATAAAATAAAAATGAAGGAAATAAATGGTTTGTTTACCTTGGTTGCTGCGTAAACAGCCAACAGTGGCATGGGCTGCAATTCGGCACTAGATGACACGTTTACGATCGCTCCCCGTTTCCGCTTTTGCATTCCCGGCAAAACGAGTTTTGTCATATGTGTGGTAGCACCAACGTTAACGTTCACCAAGTCCCATACAGTGGATTCCGGTACTTCAGTCATGTACATTGGGTACAAGTATTGCATGCCGACGTTGTTTACTGAGATACATTTCATATAAATGATTAGCAAATATTAATAGGTAATAATTTTAAACATAATGAAAAAAACAGTAGTTATAACTACTAGCATTTTTCGAAAATTATATGTATATAGAAATCTAAATCTATTATAGTTATATAAACGTTACAAACTCAGTATTCCGATTTCAATGTCATCTAATTCCTTGGTGATATGATCGAACACGATCTGCCCTTTACTGAAATCGGCTTGTATAACCTTCACTTCAACGTTAAACTCTTGTACTGAAAGACATTAGTAAATATGTATTACTAGTAAAATATTGTATTCTAGTTTTGCCAAAGTTTAAATTTATATACTTGGGTTTTTAAATAATGTAATTTTGTATTTTATTCTATTTTAATCGCTTAATTGGAACTTATAGGTGCTTAATTAAGTTAGTAAATTTAATTTAATTTTAGCTATTGATTAATGTATTGATTTTATAACACAGACTTCTATACTAAGGAACTCCTCTACAATGTAAGTTGTTACAAGTGAAGCTCAGCTGTGGATGGCCGCCATTTAGTCGGTTGGCAAAACATTTCATTCATTATACAAAAAGTATTAGGAATAACATCGTTTTTAATAATATATTAAATGTAAAATGATTTATATAAAATATTTTTTGACATATCTTATGTCTGGGGTCGTTGCGAAAATTGTCTGACATCGAGAACGTTACTATTGTTATCTTAACCCTTTGAGGAACAAGATTTCTCTGGACGAAAATATATTTTTTTTTAAAACTGCATTTTTATATTTTGAAGATATTTTGGTTACAGAATAATCTATTTACTTGGAACCTTGTTTTAAATTTTCAATAGATAGATATAAAAATTGAACATTTTATAAATTTTAAATACAAAATAATTATTTAAATTTGATACATTTTGTCAAAATGGAGCTTTAAATGCTTATAAAAAAATGTTGTACATATGTTTTTAATATTTTTCAGCAATATATCAGGAACCTTGTATTAAATATTCACGTTCTCTTACCCAACAAATAAAATTTTATTGACAATTATTGAAAAAAAAAACTAAAAAATTTAAAACTGACAATGTCCGTAAACAGCTCAAAAAGAGTCAAAATATTTTCAACATTTTATGGTGTATAGTAAATGAAAATATGAAATATTTTTCAGTGAAATTTTCATATATCTACAGTTATTTGTTTTTGAATTACAACAAAATTACAAAATCGCTACATAGTACATCAGAAATCGAGTGAATATCCAATGTTCTAAAAATATGACATAAGAACGTTGGTAGATATATTGAAAATCACAGTAAGTTATATTTACCTACTTACCTAAATCAATGACACTGACTAAATATTCAAGTCAATGTTAGTATTCATATTTAAGATAGGTGCCTTAACACATAATTAGGACACATTTTTAAATAAATATACTCATTGCCCAACAAATTGACAACGTAGGACTCACACAGAGAGCACCAGTTGATACTTAATGATATTTCGTTTTAAATAAAGCTATTTATGCGGATCACGTTTTTTTCATTAAAATGATCGTGCTTCAAATATTTATTTAGTTTAAAATATCAGTGAATAATTTATTATTCTATGTATAGTGATATTGTAGTAGTTGTACATCAATGTATATAATATGTATCTATATCTTACCTATTTCTGTAGCTACCTTATTCAATTTCTCGATTGTCCTACTAATCAATACGATGTTAAGACCTCTCTTGGCTAATTCCTTGGCGTATTCTTTCCCAATGCCGTCTGTAGAACCAGTGACCACTATAAAAATTTAGGTAAACATAAAATTATTACATTATATTAATTATGATCTCTCATAAAGGTACTATTATCAATAAAAAACGCGCGTGAGGAGTGAAACTACTTAGTTCTTACGCGATTTTATCAAGGAAAAAAGGTGGCTCTACCATACGTCCATACTGTAGAGTGTAGGTACCTACTACCTAGGAGGTTACTATAATACATGCGTTAAATTTTAATTCAATGATATATCATTCCCCAAAATCGATTCTGTGTTGAGTAGGTTTATCAGCCTATATCAAGTATATTTCAAGATATGTTTATTGATATTGCTATTAAAGGTAACTTATTTTATTGCATATTTTAAGATATAAATTAACATTTAATTATTATAATAGTCTATATTATTATCCTACTATGTTATTGTTATTAACTTTTGAGTCAATTTGAGACAACTTTACCGTAAAATTATAAAAACCGTAGATTCGTGATATAAATAGGTAACAGATTAAAATTAATCTAAATATTTTTAAATGCCATTGAGCATATGGTAAACTATATAATTGTATAGGTCCCCCCAAGCATAATGTTTTAGAATTAAGTACAATGAAATAACTAACATCTACATCGTTATTCTTTGTTTAAAAATCTAAATTTCTCGACATATTAGCTTAAAATGTCTATTAAAAAAGCTTTAATAACATATTTTTCCGATATTAAGTATTAACTGTAGGTACTTATTAGTTATAAGAAACCTTGTTTTACATTTTCAATCCTTAGCTATGAAAATTGAACATTTTACAAATTTTGGTGATTTTGATGAATTTTGATGAATTTTTTCTCATAAATAAAATCATGCCTACGTATCTTTAATAGTTTAACATCTTAATGTTACTTTAACTACATAATATATAGTTTTTTATGAAACAACAATTGTTTTATCTACAATAATTTAACAAAAAGGTGGGTAAGTGTGTACTTTGCTGTACCTACATTAGGTGTCGTGTAGATCACTGTATGATGTGTTAAATTTGAATACAATGCCATAAAATTATTATACCTATACGAAAAAGGATGCTGAGCGAAGATGGTCAACCTATATTATTGAGTATATTTTAAGATATTATTGTTATTAAAGTCATTTATTTTACTATTAGACATTAATAATACAGTAGGTTTAATTAATGTTTTCTAAAAACAATTTCATCTGAAAATATCATTGTGTAATATAATATAATATAATATAATAATATACTTTGACAGTTTAATAGTTTCAAGTACCTACCTACCTATCCACGAATAATATTTTAAATTACATCAAAATATCTCAAATTGTTATTCTTAAATACCTAATTACGTCCTAATTTTAACTTAAAATATCTATAAAAAAAACTGTGTTAATACATTTCTTATATTTGTTTAATCCTAAGGTAGCTAAAAAAATTAACATTTTATAATGATATATGTTGAATACAAAATAACTTGCAAATATTTAAGATTTGAATATTGAACATTTTTATGAGAAAAATCATGTCTATGAAATATGTATTTTTAATATTTTTGATATTCTATGAGAACTTATGATAAACCTTGTGTTAAATTTTTATAGAGCAATAAATGTTTTATCAATAGTTAAAGAAAAAAAACAAAAAATATCGAAAATTTCAAATGATTATAAATAACTTGAAATAAGTACTATCACGTATAGAAATATTCCAAAAAAAAACATTTGGTAAAAATGTCAAATTAACTTTTTTTGTTAAAAGTAGAAAAATTTATGAGGAATTAAAGCGTCTTAAATTTTCAAACATTCAAATGTTACCTATGAAAAATAAATTTGTTATGAATTTGTAACTACAAAATAACTTGCAAATTTTTACGATTTTAACAAAGTTGTCAAAATTCTAACTTCAAACAATCATAATCTAACTGTGGATTTACGCTCAACTTTTTAACTAATAATTACACTAATAACAACTTATGAGGAACCTTGTATTCAATTTTCAAGTTTTTGACGAAACAAAAAATTATTGATCGACAATAATTGTTAAAAAAACTTAAGAAAGATGAAAATTCACAAACGTTGAAAATCCATGGTCACAATAATTTTTTATAATCATGTCAAGTTTTTATTTCGACAAAAGGCTTAAAAATCACGAAAATGTGCAGATTATTTTGAGTTAGAAATTACTAAAAACTTTTTTTTTTTTAAATGTAATATTTTACAATGTAATACAAGATTCCTTAAAATGTTATATACCTTTATCAAAAAAAAAAGTCGCTCTGCTGTACAGTAGGTTACAAGTGGGACACTGTATAGTGGATGGTATTAAATTTGAATTCAATAATATAATATCATTGTATAAGATAAACGATTCTGAGTGGAGACGGTATGTCAGTCTAGGTATAAGACATATTATATACTTGTCTATATTATTAAAAAAAAAATTGACCTATAATAAATTCCATAAATTACTTTATTCACAATAATATCATCAAATACGAGTACACTTAGTAATATCAATATATCTTAGGCTGACTGTCTTCGCTCAGAATTGTTTTTCTTATACAATGATATTATATCATTGAATTAAAATTTAACACTACCCATTACAGCGACCCACTTGTAACTTACTGTACAGCAGAGCGACATCCACTTACCCACCTTTTTTTTGTTGTTATTTCCTAACGCTTTTAAAAACTACTGAGTAATTTTAAGACTAGAGTTTTTTACTTTTGACCTCTCCCCAAGTACCAACTAGATTCACTTTTCTACCAGAAAAGGAACTGAAGTAATATTGAAGGATCAGTGGTCGTGATGGAAGAAGTGGGTTAAGTGGTATTTATCTGAATCGCATGTGTATAAGTTAGGTAAACCGAGTTAGGTACGCGGTTACATAGGTGAAAGCATTGATTGTATTATATTATATTAAATGTTTAATCAACGTTGAGAAGTACCAAAATAAATTTTTTTCAGAACCATATTTTGTACACATAAATTAAAACTATCATTATTTATACACAATCAATTTTGTAGGTACTCTTACTACTTTTGTAATAGGTATAGATTATTTAAGTAAGTATGTAATTTGACTAACATAGATTAATGGTTATAAATTATTTTGTACTACCTACTAATAGTTGCTATATGCCAACTATATATTATCATATTAACGATAACCTGCAGTAGTGTTTTAAATAATAAAATCTTATCAATAATGGTAGTAATAACTTTTTATTTAACAGACGGGTTAGGGAGCTTAGACAATTTAATTTTCCAATTTTAATTATGTGTAACCTACAAACCTACAACATTTTTAAAAATAATGTCCTTTAATGATGTATTTTTTTTAAAATAGGTTATCCAACTAGCTATATTATTTTTTTCGTTTAACTCTACATTTATTATCATTCTGTTGCAATTAAATATCAACGAGGCGCAACAAAGACTACGACGTGGTAAGAATGTGTTAAACTCGCATTGTTATATCTATTAATATATTATAGTTATGTGATATGTTGTCAATTTTGTTTTTACTAACCAATAGGTACCTGCAGTATTTATATTGAGTTAAAATGTAATACAAGGTTCCTCGTAAATTTATCATATTAAATACATGTAAGTACCTACGACATATTTTTTATAAGTTCGAATTTTGACGAAATTCTTCAAACTATTTTGTTATCAAAAATTCCTAAAATGTTTAATATTCATACCTAAGATTTAAAAACTTAATTCATGATTACATGTAGAGGAGGTGTGACGAATATGGAATACCATTTTGTTTTTGATCTACACTGATTACAATGTTGATGTTTTTGGAAAACCCTTAAAATCATATTAATTTAAAACTATTTTAGAATACATTTTTTTAGTTGTTGGAACACATCAAATTACCAATTTTTATATATTCATGATAATGTAAAAATTTTGAATTTTACCATTTCAAAAAAAGTGTGAGTAATATGGAATAGGGTATTCCATATTGCCAGCACTAATTATCTAATAGGAATAAATTAAAATATTTTAAGTTCTGATGTATGTTTATTATAAATCTTACAGTTTGGTCTTATAATATAATTAAAAAATGAACTAGACAAATGTCTTAGGCAGAAAACAATTATCTTAAAATAAAAAGGAGCCAGTAGATATTTAAAAACTTCTTTTAATCTTTATAAAATTAATACAAATGTATCTATGTATTTAGCTATGTATAGCTCTGTATATCCCACTGTTTTCTGCATCTAGTATTTGATTTGGCCATCTTAAAAAAATAATAATTCATAGATAATACCTATATAAGTTTTTATGTTATAGAATAGCATCCCATATTAAAAGCAAACAAGTATTCCATATTATCATCATCATGAATTCAATACAAAAATATAATTACAATTTGATGCTTTAACGTTAGATTAATCACTGTAGTAAAGTTTAAAAGTAAATTGCATAAGCTATTCAGACGCTCTAAAGGATTTATAATTTAAAACATTAACTAAGTAAAATAAATAAAAATATACATACCTTGTAAAATTTACGTTATTACGAAAAACGAAAAACGTTATTTATTCCATTTGATAACAGTGCTGTGATATCAGTACCATATGTCTGATAAAACTAATAACTAAAGATCAAGTTTCAATCATATACGATAGATAGCGCTTAGTACATTCGTGAATAATTGACTATTCCATAATAAATGCCTATTCCATATTCGTCGCTTCTCCTCTAAGTTGATATTATAGAATTTAAAAAAAAAATTCCACAACTATTTTTTATGAGCGTATGAAGTTCTTGCCTAAATTGGAAATCCGATCATAAAATAACGATTTCGCATCAAATGATTTTCTTATTTTGTTGTAATTAAAAAAACAAATAACCGTAGGTACTTGAATTTTCACCAAAAGACAAAGGTGAATACTATCATTTCCTACACATTTTAAAATTGTATATATGTATATGTTGAATTTTTTTGAGCCATTTATCGACATTAAAAATATTTTAGTTTTTTTTTCATAATTTTCAATAAAAATTGTTTCACCGGGTCAAGAAGCTTAAAAATGTAATTATTCAAAATTTTAAAGATATGGGTATGATTATTTTTTAATAATTTAAAGTTCAAATTAAATTCACCAAAATCACAAACTTTTATAGTTAAAAATATACTAAAATTTAAAAACAAGGTTTCTCATAGAAGTTTATATTGTAATAAAAAAGTCTAAAAATATAAATACACAGTTGTTTTTATAGGCATTAAGTTAAAATGTCGATATTTAAACGAAGAATTACGATGTATAGTTATTTCAAGAATTCATTTTGAATCCAAAAATAATGATTTAAGTTATAATAGTTTAATATTATTTTTAGTGGAAATTCGAAACTTTTAGGTATATTGTTAATATTTATTGCATTTGATATTGTTAATATTTATATTTGATATTATTAATATTTATTAAATTTGATATACCTACACAATGCTATTGTATATTCATAGTTAATAGGTAGGTACTGCCGTTTTACTTTAGATAGTCAAATAAATAACTATAATAAAGAAAAGGTAATAATATATTTATATGAATATCAGAATAAATTATAGTATAATAGTAGACTGACAGATCGTCTCCGCCCACAATCGTTTTTTCGTATGTAATTACACATTAACAAGGTACAATCGATTCCTACTGTACAGCAGAGCGGTTACCTTTTTTCTCTTTTTTAGTTTTACTTGTACCTATTATAATAAGTCAGTGGGGAAAAATGTCTTTTAGTTTTTAGTTTTCAATGACTTCACTTAGTGAAGTTAAATTTTTTAATCCGTAATATTTTATACCGGTCGATCACCGATTTTATAAATGTTGATTTCCGGAAATGTATTTGAATTTATATTTAGTCAAAATAGATAGACATGCAAATACAATAATATGCTTGCGGATCATAATAAATAATAATCAACAATGCTATAAGAGAGTAAAATATAAATAACCTACGAGGCTACGAACCGTAAAGTTAAGTCAGTTGATTACATACGGCATATTGCGTACAATAAATCGGTTACCTACCTAGTAAGTAGTAGGTAGTGCAGTTAGTCACAAGAAAGTGAATTTTCGGTGTCACTTTCCATTACCATTAAAATATTTATGTATACTACTATACCTACTATACATTACACAATGTAGACTATAGACATACAGTTTTGTGCATAATAAACATAATATATATTACCAGTGTTGGGAATAGATAACTAAATAATTATCTAGATAAGATAAGATAATTTTAACAAAATATTATCTAGATAAAAATAAAGATAACATAAATGTAATTTATCTAGATAAAGATTAATACAACAATACATTTATCTAGATAAATATCTAGATAAATATAATTTTTTTACACTTATTTTTAATGTTTTTTAGTATTTTTTTAATATTAGATTTCTATCAATATAATGACATAATATTTATAAAAACAACGGTATGAGACTTTAAATTTAACTATTTGAATATTATACATATAAGAATGAAACATCAAAACATTTAAACCAATACTAGTATTCCACTGTTCAAAATTATGTAGTTAGCTGACTCTTTATTCTTTAATACTATAATATTTCTACCCCTACTTATATAAATGCATACAATAATGAATTAATAATAATTGATACATTTTAATACAAAACTGCCTATGTATGCCTATGTATGCAGTATGCACTGATAGGCTATAGCCACTTGTAAATCATATTAAACCAATATTAAAAAAGGATGAACCAAGGATGAACTTAAATATTTAAAAAACATTTAAACAGTAAATAATACATTATAATCAATGTTTGGTAAGAAATAGTTGAATGCTAAAATATAAGCGAATTGTTTTATTATTGAATACCTACAACATTTTTAATAGTTCATAAGACAAAAAAAAAATAATTATAAAATTACAACTGTATAATATTAATAAAAAAAAATATTTTATAACAAAAACAAAAAAAAATGTTTATAAACCTTTTGTTAGAACTACATGACATTAGAACTTGTTTGAATTAAGATTCTGACATCTACAACAAAATTAACATTTTTAATAGTTCATAAGACAAAAAAAAATTATAAAATTACAACTGTATAATATAAATAAAAAAAAATATTTTATAACAAAAACAAATAACAATGTTAATAAACCTTTTGTTAGAACTACATGACATTAGAAGTGGTTTGAATTAAGATTCTGACATCTACAACACAAAAGCATTTCAAATGTTTTATCATTTAAACGATTTCTTCTTGGTGTCATGATTTGTGATCCACTACTAAATAAACGCTCTACTGGAGCAGAAGAGGGAAGTGTTGTATTGTATTTGAAAAACATTTTCTTTATGATTGGAAATGAATTAAGAACATTAAAATCTTTATTTTTTGAGTTTAAATATTCCATAGCTTGAGCATTAATACAATTATGATTGCTTTGAATATCAATATCCACATCTAAACAATTCTCTGATAGGACTTGAAAAAATTCTTGGTCACTATTATCACTATCAACATTTTCATCAGTATTTAAAACAGCTTCTTTATCAGTATTAATTAAATAGCACTCATCAAAAAATATTTGTTTACAATATGATTTGTATCTATTGGGTATCCAGGATTGTTTAAACTTTGGGTGGCTTATAGCAGATAAAATGAAGGATTTACTTTTGACTTTTTTTAAATCAAATATATAATCAAATCTCTTCTCCAAACTGCTTATAATATTAAAGCATAAAGGTCTACAGTGGACCAAGTTATCCATCTGTATTAATAAAAGCCTTAATGCCAGTATAGTGGGGGCAACAAAACCTAAATGACAAGACCTTTCACCTTGCAATTTATCCAATGATATTGCAAGGGGGCCCATCACCTTACAATATTCTTCTAAAAAACTCCATTCATTTTTTTTCATTTTTTTCATTTTTAACTCATTAAACACCAAGACTAAATTCTGTTTATTTGTAACTACTTTATGTACAGCATCATACATAGAATTCCATCTTGTCAAATTAGGAACTGGAAATTTACAACTACATAAATCAAAAACTTTATCTGAGACTACAGTACTTCGACTAAGAAGATTCCAAAATGATGATAACTTTTTAAATGTAATTTTTGAAATTGAATTATAGGCTTGATCAACTATTTTGGCAGTATCAACTGAAGCTATTAGATTTAACGTGTGTGCTGAACATGTTAAATGACTTGGTAGAGACATTGTATTAGTAATTGTTTCTTTATGATTTAACATCAATGAAGACAAATCTACAACGTCAAATTCAAGATTAGAATCATTTACATCATCATCACTACTTATGTTAACATCGCTATCTGAGTCATCACTACTTATTAAGCCTAAATAATTTGAATCAGAAATATGTGTATCAGTCACATTAAATTGTTTTGAAAATGTACGAAATGCCTTGCCAAAATTTGAGGCATTGTCAGTAACTACATGGGTAACTTTTTCATTTTCAATTTTAAAGTCCAGCATTATTTCATTGATTACTTTGGCAATATTTAAATAAGTATGATTTCCTTTTATACGCCTGCAAGCTAATATATAAGAATACCTACTGTAGTTAAGTTCATCGATAAAATGACAAGTCATTCCTAAATAGCTCTTATTGTTGGAACTCCAAATATCAGCAGTAACACACACATAACTTTGTTTTTCAATAAATCCAGTTAACATTTCTACATAAGCTTTATATTTATGGTTTAGTTCACTGACAAGAGCTTTTCTGTATGGAAGTACAATAGAATCTGATGTAAGGCCTCGAATCAACCGTTTGAATGATGGTTTTTCACATGTTGCTAGTGGTTTCATTTCTTCAACAATGTAGTTAAAAACTAAATCCTTCACCTGTAATAAAATAATTATAATATAATTATAATTTGGAAAGACATAAAATGTGCATAAAATAGTTAGGTAGATGTATTTATATAATTGCTATTTGCTTATGATTTTTTTTTATATATATATTGAAAGTTATATATACTAGAAAGTATTTTTTAATTTATATATTGAATCATATTTTTTCAAGTTAACTTCTGACTTAATAATTTCAATTTTATTTCAAGATGTTATAAAGTTTTTAATTTTTCAAATGGTTTTATTTTAAAACACACTTACGTTTTGGAATTGTCATAAAATCATCCCACAGTAATAAAAATAAAAATGAGTTAAGCCGTTGATATACCCACGACTTAAGTTATTAGTATATTAATGTATAGATAGTTACTAACCAGTTCTTTTGACACTTTTGGAGTATCATAGATTTTTGTTTGAATCATTGTTGATGTTTCTTGATCTTTTTTTTTTCTTGCGTCTTCTACTTTCGACATCAACGAGTTATGTTTCCGCTATAAATATTAGATAAATTCAACTATAAGTTTAAAATATAGTTCAATAATAAGAATAATAATAATTAGAACCTATATACAATATAGCCATGTTTAAGTTACTTAGATCAGTTAGGCCTTAGGCGTAGCTTTTTGGTTATTATTTTTATACTTATTTTAAAAATATATTTAATATAATTATTATGAAAAGTAAATTTCAACTGTGATACATTTTATGTAATACAATTATTTAAATACAAATGAGATCAAATTATTTTTATACAAAGTTGTTTTAATATCATATATTTAATTAACATATTATAATAGGTAGGTACTTTGATTAATCATGATGTATGACTATTTTTTTTTATGTTAATTAAGTTTTCATTGTACAAAGTAAAAACTATGATATCAGTAAAACAAAATTGATTTGTTAGGTCAACAAATATAGGATTCCCGACCATATAGGTATACCTACATATTAAATTTTTTTCAAGTAGCATTATACTGTATTTTTTAAATTTAAAACAAAACTACATATGTATTTTTAGATACTGAACACTAGTATAAAAATTTACAAATATTGAATTATGATATAACTGATCAAATAAAATATGAGGGGGTACTAATCTAAATTGCTGAAGTATTAATTTATAAGCATCAACAAGATAAACTTCATACATATGATTAATAAACAAACTAGGTACCTACTACCTATTAAAGTGTTGTTTATCAATCTTTTTTTTAAATAAAATAAAATTTAAATAATTAAGCTTACCTTTATATGGCTTAAAAAATTACCACTTGATTTTGTGGACCCACTAACAACTTTAGAACAGTTTTGACAAACAGCTGTTACTTTAAGATTTTCCACATTTCGAAGCTTATAAAATTCGTCAAATAAATATTTATAATAAGGTGCAGGTGCAAGTGAAACGTGAGTAGAAATGAGAGTTGTTGGGTCGTCCACATTTTGAGCTTCTGCTGGTTCGACGTCCAAACGAATTTTTTTAACTGATGTGGAAGTTATAAATCGATCCATGATTTAACGGCTCAAATATAAAGTCACAATTCACAAGTAGGTAATAAAATGGTGTTTATACCTTTTACTAGACAACGGTCGCCTTATGGCTTATACAGTTATACAAGAAATCGTTAGGCTCTGTAGTCTTAATGAAATAATATGCTATTATGCTATACCTAATACTCTTTCATTAAGAACTAAGAAGTAAGAACGCACTGACACACTGCTTCGCGCATCGACGCATCGTTATCAAAGGTTCAACCGGTTTTCGTCAGCCGCCTGGTGCGTTTTCATATGAAATACAGTTCTACGAAGTTAATTTTTATTTATTTTTAGAATGGATGGGGAAATAAACCTATACCTATAATTAATTTTAATATGCTCATTATGATTTATGGCTAGTAGAGAAGGATGTATAGTGCATGCCCGCATGCAGGTTCTCGTAATACTCGTTGACAATAATTACATGAAATATATTTATCTAATTTTATAAATAATTTATACTACATTAGAATTTTAGTAACATTGGTTTTATAATTTTGTAGTGGCACTATAATATTTATCTAGATAAATTTATCTAGATAAGCCCATTTTTTATCTAAGCTAAACGTTAGATAAATCGTAACATAATTATCTAGATACTTTAAAAGATAATTTATTTCAAAAAATCTTATCTAGATAAGTTATCTAGATAATTTTATCTAGATAATTCCCAACACTGTATATTACATGATAAACTTATATAATATAAATGCATACGTACAAAATGATCCATTTATAAGAGTACAATAATTTTCGGTAAATTGTTGTCTTTAAAAAAAAAATAATAAACTGGTAAGTGGGTAACGTTCTGCTGTAAATTAACCATTAGGCGTCTATAGAGAAGTTACTGTAATGGATGTGTTAAAATGTAATTCAATGATATAAAATCATTGTATGTATACGAAAAATAATTATGAGCGAAGACAGTCTGTCATCCTATAATATTAGGTACTAAGCATATTTAATGATATTATTGTGATTAAAGTAATTAATTAGTATTATGGTATACTGGTTTCTATAGTACCTAGGTTAAATTAATTTAATTACACTTGTAAACGTTATTGTGTGTATAAAATATAATAATATATAAAAAGTTTCAAGTCTCCAGGAATAATATTATTAAATTTCAACAAAACAACTAAAACATAGTAATAATGGATTTTAAGACAACAATGACTTTTCAATAGGTATCACTGATATTATCAAAAAAAATACATTCGATATTGAACCGATTAATCGTTCCTCTCTTTTTAAGGTGAACATTTGATACCTAGTAACTATAGTTCAACAAGAAACAGTTATTAACAAACTATTTATGGACATGTGGCGTTCTTCTTAAGAGATAACCTGTGTTAGACGAAATACCCATTGACCGATGATAGTTGTTGTTCTAATCAATGTTTTTTAATTTTAAATTTGTTCTTATAAATAGTAGTTATAGTAGTAATCTAACCAGTGCGACAGTGGTTGGTTGACTAAGATTTCCATTGCATAAAACCGTAAAATGTCACTATTATAAAATACGTTCATACTCCTAGAAGGAGAACCTTTGACGGTCGGGTAAAGTGTCCAGGTTCAGAAATATTCATTTTTACCCGACTGTACAAAGTCTCCGATTTTCACATTTTTAATGTCCAAGCTTACAAAATTACATAAAACCAATATTATCGTTTATACCATTTGCACGAGTGAAATTATTTTTACCTCCGTGAGCGATGTGGATTTTGATGCACATGTGATTTTATTTTACTTGTTTTTGTCTTACAATATTGCAATATCTATTAAAGCTATAATAACTACTATTATTGTCATATTGATAATACATTATGCTGCAGATGTACGTCAATACACAGGTTATATCACAGATGACGAAAGCAAATCGTGTATAAAAAATATTTGTGTAGAACATAAGTAGGTAGGTACATAGTATAAAACATACACATTATATTAATATAATTACAGGTACGCGCAAACACGTTTACACGGATTCTATACAAAAGTGTACCAAAGAATAAAACGCAATTCAATTTCATAGTAAATATTGTTCTTTCTTCCTGAGTAGGTATCTGCTTTTTATTATTGTTTCCACTTATGCAACTATTAAACTAGTGACTATACCTATACATAATACATTAATACATAATAAAATAAAGAATATAATTCGTCCAGTCTAGATTACCTATTCGTATAATAGGTACTTAATCGAGTTTAAAACTTAAAAAAAAATTAGTTATGTTTTAGGTATAATATTATAATATGGATGCAATTTTAAATTGGAAATATTATCCATAGAAAATGTTATTGCTCAGCAACTAATTTAAATAATTTAAAATATTATTCAGTTTAAAAATATAAATTATATTATAATATAATAATATTTTGACGTAGAACCTAGTACCTATAGATAATATGCAATATATACAATAACGGATATAATGGTAATCAGGAAGTGACGGGCCCGTATGACATATATATGATATATTATATATACAGAGTGTTCTTAAAAATATATTTTTTTTAAATTAATAAAAGACTTAGGTACTGATAAAATTATAGTTTTAAATACATATATTTTGTTTTAACTAATAATTTAAACAACATTTTCGTTTTTAAGCTAATATTATCAATTATGTTAATATATGTACAGTGTACTTAAATAGTTAAATTAATTAATTAATACTCACTTAACTATTTATTTTTAACTTTTGATAATACCTGTGTGTATTTTATATAGATACGTTAATTTGTGTACAAAAGTATTCTGTTTTAGATTATGAAATCATAAGTATAAGTTGCTGTTTAAAAAATGAAACAATGTTCACTATTTAATGAATCACATGTATAGCAAGTGGGCGCTTACAATATGTAGACAAGCACGATAATACACTCTGTATATTATACACTGTAGCTCAACGTCATCAGGTCGTACAATTTCTCGACTTTCACGGAATCACGTAAGATTATTTAGGTGAATAATAATCACCGAACGCCTTTCTAAATCAAATCAATAAAAACTCGACTCTTGACCAAACTGATGTTATCGTGCAATAACCGATGATTACTACCTATATGGTTTCATATTAACATAACCAAAATATTATACACCGTGACACGAGAATTTTATTTATTAGATAATATAGTACTTTCTTTATCTCCGAGTTCACAGTTACATGTATTACAGAAATTCAGAATCATCGAAAATTGTTATTGTAAAGGTGAATAGGTGATGATATTATATTATTACAATTTACAACTTATACAAAACTTACCGTATGGCGTAGGCTAAACAACTCTAATGAAGGTAAATGGGTACAAATGTACAATTATTTTAATTATTAATGACTAAAACATCGTCGATGAATAAAAACATAGAATAATATATTGGCCAGTCAATGGTGTATAATGTTTAGTTTATTTAATTAATTATCATATACATTTACAGTGATTTCCTAAAACAAACTATGCTCTATTTGTTGGCTAGTAAGTAGCAGTAAAACACTGTATTATGTTATATTTTGAGTTTTAAAAATTAAATAAAAATATTGAAGGTAGTCGTTAGGTACCTACCTACGTTTTATTATTGAATCAGCTTGAGTAATTCATTGTGGTTGATTAGGAATTATAATTTATAATCTTTTTTAATATTTACATACCTAACCAATACCTATACAATACTTGCCAATAGCATATCATATGCATATTCGAGTTAAACAATATTAAATTATAACAGATATTTTTATAATTATTAATAAATAATAATTAGAAACTATACGTTATTTGGCAAAAATCATATTCTTAATAATTTTCTTAGTTTATATTTTAACAAAAATTAACCGAATGATAAATAAAAAAATAAAATGTGTAATTCGAGCTATGTATAATAACAAAATATGTTTAATTTGAAGGCAGGTAGGTACTCTGAACAATCGTAGAGTGAGTATAAAGTGAGTTGAGCTAGTGAAGTATATTTTAAATTTTTAAATTTAAATTATTAATAAATTCCATTTAAATAACAACACAAAAATAACATGTTTTGCATAAAAAATATACCTATTATAGGTTGGTATAATGAATTATTAGATTTAATTAAACAATGGTAAAATTAAGAAATGTACCTATACTTTGAGGGTTTATCCAAGTTCTAACTTTAAAACTCTGTAACTTTTTTACCTAGTTTCTGATGATGATTACAGATTAATGTAGTTATAACTTTTAAATAAGCCAATTAATTCATGCACTCTAAAATGCATCTAGGATTCATTTATAATATATAGGTATATCGGGAATCGGGAATCGGAATAAATTACCGATTAATGAATAATTAATATTTAAATTTTAAAGAGTACCTAATCATCAAGTTGGTGCCAACTAATTTTGTTTAACAAAACTGTGAAATCAAATAACGACTTGGGTATTTTATATTAATTATTGTTAAACCAGTAAAAAGTTAACATAAAAACTTGTCTGTCTGGAACTATAACAACTATAAAACAACGAGTAGTTACCTACTTACGTCATAGGGATACGGATACGTACACAACAAACATTTAGTGTGTAATAAGTTCCAGGTTAGTTTTCATTTACAATATTTTACACCCATACTGTTTTTAGGTATTGTAAATTTTGTCCCTTCCATGTACCTTAAAAGGTGATAAGCTGTCAGATATAAACAAAAGTCAAATATTAGAACTTGGGAGACACGCAGTCGTCTACGAATTAGCATAAGCAAGACAATTGCAGTCACACACGTTTCAGCGTAAACAAGTTTCAACAATAAATGCAGGAAATTAATTTGTATGCATGGTATAATAACAATGTTAATAATTACCGCATGTTCAGCTGGTATAAAGGTACCTATATTCATTAGTTATTACAATTTACAACTACTAATCATCAACGAGGAATGATGAAAACGTTGGAGTTCAACCACATATAGGTACCTTGTTTATTTTGTATATACACAGGTATAGGGTATA